CTGGTTTGTACTACCAAAGGGAATGAAACGGGATGAATAAGTGAAACTTAGTTTGAATGCGTTGGCCTTACATGTCTATAAAAGAAAGCTCCGGAGGATTGTAATTGAGGGTCAGTTTTAGTGTGTAGTATATATGTTCTGCAGCAGATGTAAGTAAGCATATAATGGTTGATGAAATGTCACAAAAGCCCACGAGCACCATCAACAAAATGACAGGATTAGACAAATAGTTTTGATAGCTTGGCAGGGCAAACCGCTGGAAGCTCTTAGCTTCAAAAGTTCCCCTCGGCGATCAAACGAGATATAACAGGGCCAAAAAAAAAGGCAGCATAACAAAGAACGTAAAGCTTTGGGATGTACCACTGCCCTAAATATGTAATCTACGGCTATGGTCCCCGGCCCCTGGGCCTACCAGCCGCCCTAGGGGAACTTTTTTTAAGGTGCCCGGTGCTCGGGTCTCGTTTCACCAACCTTACAATGTTGGAGTAACATTGATTCTTTGAAATCCTAGTTTTTTATGCATTTGATCCTTGGTCTATGTTCCCTCGAGCTGCCGTGTTCCGATGCGGCCGAGGCAAATTTACTCGAATGTTATAGCCTTCTGGTTTAATACCTCAATAGCTACTCTCCTTTCATAGAGGACAAAGTTTTGGTGCCGTTAGACAATAGGACGGGCTTGATTGGATGTTTATCAAAGTAAACTAATAAATTAGTAATAGTTATCGACAGCTAGATGTCTATAGAAGACCAAAAGAAACGCTAATATTCTATTAATTAAAGGCAAATCCCTACCATTGCCAAACCGCTCAGTCCCTCTACGCTATGCCTGAGCAAACGGTTCAGGAAAGGGGTTGTCCATGGAGTAAGATATATTAAGCTTAGTTCCCCTCTTAAACCATTATCTAAAGCAACACTTCTCGTTTTATTCAATCACCCCAATCCCTCGAAATCATGAGAGTTTTAAACCTCCTACGGGCCTGGATTGCCCATGAAAACTTGCTCAAAGTGACCATCTTCGGATTACTTCTTCATCTCTCCTTTGCCCATTCATTTAGCAATGATGTGGCTCGAGACAGTCTATCCCCCCGACAGGCCCATTTTGTCAGTGGCCCAATGAAGTTTGACAGTTCCCTAGGAGAAGAGGCTGCGCAACAAGTGATATGGTCCCAACATGGAAATTCACAGCGAGCCACTATCCAGGTATATGTGAGCCGAGGGTTTCTGCAGGCGCAGAATACAATGCAGAATCCCACTCCGGAAGACGTTTGCTTCACCCTCTCGAACTTCAAGCTTATCGGCGATAAATACAGTACAACGAGGGTTGATTTTACACGACACTCGTACACCGAAGTACGGGTCAGCATCGATCTTCCAACAAAGCGCAACGCCGACCAAGTACAGGCGGCAGTGACTATGAAGGCTAATAGCCTGCTGGTTGATATGCAAAATCAACAAACTGAATGGGGTCAAGAGTCCCGAAGGCCTAAAGCGAGCTTTGAGAAGGATGGACTTTATGTTCAAGTCATCAAGCATTATGGGAGTCAGTGATGTGTGAGGTGTCTATATCCTTTGACGTCATTTAGTTGGATGTATTGAGGTTCTCGGGGTTTGATGTCTATGACGGCCAGACAGCAACTGTGAGAAGGCTTTATTTCGGGTATCGGTTTACTTGTTTCGTCTTTCGTTTATAAGCAAACATGTTGCTCTCGTTGCTATGTATCGCGCTATTTGCTGTTTGATGTTGGTTTTATTATCAATGCTTTTTGATTCATACTCCAATAACATTGAAACCTAGAGTACTATGCTGGCTTATAGACAGAGACAGAAGATCTTAAATTCTTCCCCTGAATCGTCGTCTACGCACAAGAACATAGCCAAGGAAGAATCAGTCGTGTCTTCTAGGCAAAGCTCGTACTCTAGCTAACGTCTAAATCTAGTCTAGTTTCAAAATTTTTTATCTGATTCAGCTAACGTTCAAATCCCGGGCTAGACTTGCCTTGCCCGAGAAGTGGTGATGGTTTATTCTAACCACCCGAGCGCTCGGAGACTTTCAAATTTCAATAAGCCACATAGATTGCAGACTTGCAGATTGAACACCCGACGGGCTTTCAGTTCTCCCGTTGGAGATGTTTTTCGGAGACTTTCAAAGATTCTCTTTGTTGGTTCGGGTGGATAGGGCTCTTGCGAAATTTGCAGTATCGAGTCTAGTGCGTACCCAGAAGGGCGGGTATATCCACTTTTCCGTGGATCGGGCTAACGTTCCTTCATTTCAATGTGCTCCGTATCCACTATAAAGAATGACATAGGCAAATAGTACATATGCCAAGTTAGGGCTATCGGCTTTTGCTCTCAGAAGATGTGGAATTCAACGGTTTCTTAAAGGCATGGAACTCGATGAGTCGATGTATATAAAAGGTTCAGGAACCTCAAACTATAGCAGATAGATTTATACTTGCTTTCGTTTTTATATCAATTTTACTAGGTACCCGTGTCTCAAGAAACAACCATATAATAATTGTAACCAATATGAACGTCACGTTCGATGTCTTCCGTGGCTCCCCTGAGGGCAAGATCGTTGCCGATAAGACTACGCGCACTCTGGAATACAATGAAGTGTTTATTGAGACGACGCATTCCGGTCTTTGTGGGACGGATGAACACTACCTAAAGTCGGGCCAGGTGCTTGGACACGAGGGCATCGGTATCATCAAGGCTCTCGGACCCGGTGTTACCTCGGTGAAGGTTGGAGACCGTGTGGGATTTGGATACACACATAGCATTTGCACATCTTGTGATAACTGTGAGACTGGTAAGTGATTCTTGAACATCGACCAGCTCAACCGTCTAATATGGCCCAGGCTGGGACCAATTCTGCCGCAACCAGAAGCAATATGGCTTCCACGACTTTGACAACGGTACCTTCAGCTACGGCGCCGTCTGGGACGTCAACTGCGTCTACCCCATCCCAGAGTCGGTCAGCTCAGTCGATGCCGCCCCTCTCATGTGTGCTGGTGCGACTGTCTGGACTGTCCTGACTGAGTTTGGTATTCGCTCGACCGACCGCGTCGCCATTATGGGCATTGGTGGCCTCGGTCACATTGCTATCAAGCTTGCTGTCGCATTGGGCTGCGAGGTTGTCGTTCTTTCCAGCTCCGAGTCCAAGAGAGCAGAGGCGATGGAGTATGGTGCCTCCGAGTACCATGTCTTCCGTTCCGGCGAGCCCATCAAGGAATTCAAGCCTGTGAGGCATTTGTTGCTGTGTGGAAGTGGCTCCGTTAGTTATCCTTCGTAAGTTACCTTCTCAAATCTTAGCTTAGACAGGTCTAGCTAGTTTTTGGAACCGTCTATATATGCCTCCAGGTCTTTGCTAACTCAGAGCAGTCTCATGCCCCTCATGGACACCAACGGTAGCATCTACCCCTTGACAGTCGCATTTGAGCCCTCTCCTATACCCATGCTGGATGTCCTCTTCAAGGGTGTCCGTATCCAGGGATCTCTGGTTGCTTCTCGGAAGGGTATCCGCACACTTCTGGAGTTTGTGGCTAGGCATAAGATCGTGCCCACCGTCATGACATTCCCATTGACTGTGGAGGGTATTGAGGAGGCCATGCAGACTCTTAGAGAGGGAAAGATGAGATATAGAGGAGTGCTTGTGAAGGAAAATTAATTACTGGGATACCCAAAATGTACTATAAGCATGATGCATGATAGCAGTGTAAATATGGGAGAATATATAAACCAATTCCTTTGATGAAAATATATAATTCACAGGGACCCACGGACCACGTCGGACACCGTAATATACTAGACTCAGCAGAGCAATGACTTCCCCGATATTACGATACCAATCATATGTTTTTATTCTCTACCTACGTAACGTAGCTACTAGCCTGAGTTACTGCTCTACAAAGGTCAGTTGTAGTTTATTCCGCTTGAGAAACGTTAATGCTAAGCACCGCTATATCTCCTTATGTTTGATTCTCCTCGGATCGAAGCATTAGCGTCGAGTAGAAAAATTAATTTAATAAATGAAAAAAAGTTCCCCAATAGAATTATAGAAAATAATGTGAATAAAATTACAGGAGGGTTTGAAGTAGACCATGAATGATTGGCAAACAAATGGATCTTGCCGTTCTGTGTAAAAGTGTGTACCGTGTTAGAGCCTAGTAGAGAAAGAAATTTCCATCCACTGGGCCTCTGGCGCAACGGTAGCGCGTTGTAAGTTACCCTTCACCAAGCAGTAGCTTGTGAACTTCTTCTAACAAATTCACAGCGACTCCAGATCGAAAGGTTATCCGTTCAAATCGGGTGGGGCTCACACCTTCTTTTTTTTTCCCTTATGCTTCTACCCGGCCCTAGTAAACCAGGACCGAGATGCTCTTTACCAATTCAAACTTCGCAATCGAGAAACGTGCTCCTTCAAATGTGTCATATCCAATCGACATAGTTTCATCCAGACCTTGAGAAGGCCCTAATTCATCTCTGCCCCCTTCCATTATCCCCCTCAATCTTGTACAGGCCAGCCTACGTGCCATATATGCCTACTACTTAAAATCTTCACTTCGCCTGCGCTTCAACATTTGGTCGCTGACTATACTACCTGAATCTGTCCTTTGTGATGCGTTGATTTCGATCCCTCCAGAGTTAATACAAGCCTTGTATATATAATATCCTACTAGTATACTCCGTATAAAAGTCAGGTAGTCACTAAACTTTTCCTGTCTTGTAGAGGTTGGCCGGTAGTCCTAACCACTTTAATTCGAGCGAAACCACCAATTGAAACAACTTATCCAGCCTTTCAAAGCTTTTTTACCAGTAATATTTTCCCGTGGATAATTGAAGACTTACATCGGGTCTTTGGTGTCGACTCAGTTACTACCTTATTAGGATGCTGCTGCTGGGTCAGGGATTCAGGGTGACAATAGAGGAATCTATCTTCTTACGTCTCCCTTAACCTCGTCCTACATGTACTAAAATATTTAGCCTTTTGCCACCGGCAAGGGCCTCTGGCGCAACGGTAGCGCGTTGTAAGTACCAACTTATCAAGACTTGTCAAGTCTCTCTGTTCTAACAAATTATCACAGCGACTCCAGATCGAAAGGTTATCCGTTCAAATCGGGTGGGGCTCAATCTTTTTCTTTCCTTTTTTACTCATACAAAAACAACTTCTATTCTTCGCTTAGATCGCAGACCGATTTTGACAATCTCAACATCTGTCCGTCAGTTCTTTTCGGAAGGTCCGTTTAATTATTCCTTTTATTAATGGAGGATCTCGTACGTAGCCTGTCAACTACGAGAGGGTAATTAGCCAGGAATCGCTTTGGTAGGATTTGTTGGTGCTGTCTTACTTGCTTCAACCGTATATATGCAATTTAGCAAAGATTGAACATCAAGCCGGGCCTCTGGCGCAACGGTAGCGCGTTGTAAGTTCTACTATTAGTACATTGCACCTTACTTTACATATTCTAACAATATCATTAGCGACTCCAGATCGAAAGGTTATCCGTTCAAATCGGGTGGGGCTCATATCTTTTTTTGCCATATCTCTTTTACTTCCTTTTTTGCTATGCCTTCCTCTCGACATGTTTCTTTGTATACACTTTTTCAAGAGAAATGAAACCAAAATCCCACCCTCTGATCACTCTTCATTCACCGTGCTAAGATCACTACAGTGATTGGCTCGTTGCTCGGTGTTCACCAATCGCCCAGCAGGACAACCAAACCTGCGAACACGATAGCCTAAGGCAGTGTCTTGTACCTTCAATCCATAATGACGGCCTCTAAAATCTACTCTTGAGTGCCGGACTCATACTATGGCCCTAATATTCACATTCTTCCACAGATGTCTGATTTCCAGCTCCGTCCCTGCAATTTTCACGTCCCTCCCTTCTTGTTTCACTCTCTCACGGTCTCTCTCTTGAATTTTCCTTTTACTGAGTATTTGACAGAGGAACTCTATGTTTTTTATTATTTGCGGGGTCTTCCGTGTGAAGGACAGATCTTGCGCCCAAGCCTGGACTACTGCAATTCTCGGGTGGTTATGGTATTTGCGTTGCGCTAAAAACCTGGCTTTGGGTAAGCAATGGCCGACTGATTCGTTGCTTTGGACTATCAGAACTCACTCTTGAAGATGTGTCCAGATATTATCTTTTCGCGATGGCCATTTCTCAGGGATGCCTATGAAAACAATGCCACCGAGGGGCCAGTTCTCCTTTAGGCACAGCCATAGTAGCCATGTTTCATCAGCAGGCCGGGGTGGTTTCCTATACGGCTGAAGCTTTTCTGAGCTCCAATTGAGCCTTATTAGCTCGAGCCCCTGGCCAGCGAAGAAGCCTTTCGGTAATTCACTTCCACCCTCATCTTTTACTTGGTTTTGTAGTGAATGAGACACTGCAGTTGTGTCTCTCCAATCCAGACCGGTCTCTGTCTCCCATAAGGTAACCAATTGTTTCCCAAGGTCTGCAGTTTCTTGGCAGTTAGGCAGATGCCTAGTTGGGAACGTGACAACATCGTCGGAGTTCAATGCGCCCTGATGAACCAAGCAGGACTTGCCGGTTTCATCACGCAGATCGATACCGTCTTTCGTGCTAGCTCTCTGGTCAGTAGGGGCTGCAAATGAAAGTCGAGCAGTAGACACCACATACAAGAAAATATATTTTCTAGAGGTATAGGATGAATCCTGGCTGGACTGAGGGGTGCGCATAATGAATTTGAAGTTTTGTCCAGATGGGCTTTCCCAGTAGATCCCGAAGGATGAATTTTTCCAGACGAAAAACTTGAAACGAATGAAACCATCATTCGAGAGCTCATTAGATATCCTAGTTGAATGGATCCATTCCCAAAATATAGAGTCTTTCATTAGTTGCATGGTAACCGCTTGCTCAATGCTACTATATGACGCCCTGTTATTTGACTCTAGCTTGTTCGTGGCGAGAACTTCACAGAACTCTTTCAAAAGAGCACTTGGTATCTCGATCTCAGCGACCTTGTCGCTCTTATCCGCAAAATCCCCGAGACTGATCGCTGTAGTTTTTCGTATCGAAGTGATTTGCTGCTTGACTGCACCAGATTGACTGCTGCACTGTTGTGATGATGTCCATACCGCCTGTGTAATAGCATCCACAAAGAGCGACTTGCCTTGGGAGACAGAATTTCCCCATAAAAACCATTCGTTAACGTTGTCACGACCAATGTGCACATGCAATTCGGGAATATTCATGCCCCATAGTCTATATACCTGCTGCCTTCGTTTGTCCGACAGCTTTTCGCCCACAGCAAACCCGCTTAAAACGTCTCTATCCTATGGACCCGTACCATGCTCCGTCAGCCATGTGCCACGGAGCCAGCACCTAACAGCAAGGATGGGTAAGTAACTTACCAATTCCTTTCGTATTGCTACAGCAATCCTGGGTCTTTTTCGTATAGACAATTGCGTCGGGCTAGCGTTCGGCCGTTCAGCGTGAAGTTTAGCCTTCAGCCGACCAAATTGCTCATAGAACTTCTGGCCATGGAGTATATTGTCAACTTTTTGCTTGACATGCTTACACCATTCCTTCTGACTTCTCCCTTCGAATTGTTCCGCAGAATCCAGAAAGACCGTTATAGTTGACAGTAAAACCCACAAAGTCATGTCTAAGACAATGAGGAATACGCTAGGGTTTAATGAAAATCGACCTTGCCCAGGATGAAAGCACGGAATCTGAATGCCATAGAATTCTTCGCAAGAGATTAATTCCAAACGCCCCACTCTGTCCCAAAATTTAGACGGCCCGTGATGAATAGAATTGAGTGAGAAACCGGAAGCTATGACAGCAGATGGTTTGGCAGAAAATGTCAGCATGATTAGAGGTTTGACTGCCATAACATACTGCTTTAACAAGCGAGCCGCTGCCAAGAGATCATCACCTTCTGCTTTATACCAGGGGCACAGGTCGACAAAAGGGAGTGCACCCGCTGCTATTAGGTCACGAAGGTATTCTCTTTCAGGTCTCTTGGACTCCTCTCGGTTCCAGAGTCTATTGAAGGATGTCCTCAATAAATTTGCCGATTGACTAGGACCAGTGTAAAAGGGCTGCTGCTCCTTATAACCCTCACGGCTATTGCCAGCTCCCACGGTCAGTAGGAGAACAAACCTCCCACGCCAAGCTGAAGGCATGGCCTGACGAAATACCGTATCCCTTAAGGAATTAGGAAAATCGTGGGAGCGTCGCCTAAAGAAGGAAACTGAACCTTGATGATCTCTCGCATAGCACTGGATAGCATCTGCCCAGGAGGCAATGGAAGGTTCTTGCGCAAGGGGATAAAACTCACAAGGGCTCAGTCTAGAGATAGTCCTTGTACCCAGGGCGTCGAATTGTTGCCAATGAGATTCATGTAGCTTTAGGGTCCAGCCTTCTGTCTTGGTCAAGACTTGATTCAACAGATAGGGTAGACCAAGTAATGCAATAGCTGCCTGTTCGGCGATATCATTGAAGTCCTGAATCTCCCGGAGGCCCTTAATTTGCTTATTTGGAAACACGTAAACAGAGGCTGAGTCGATTACCGTTGGGAAAGTTCTCTCTAAGCACGTGAGGAATTTCGAGAAAAAAACGTTCGTCGTGTTAATAGATCCTCTCTGTGTCGTTTGATCGCACCTCGTGTCCGTGTCGTTCTTCCAACATATCTAATATACACAGTCTCATCAGACTGCATACCCTTTATGCTACCTAACCATATTGTTGTCTTAGCGTACTGTATCCCGGTCCCATGAAACTGTGCAATGACCTCCTGAAGCTGGTCTACTTTAATCTGAAAACAACGAACATATACGGTTGTTTGCTGTAGGGTCTGGTCGCCTAGCTCAGCATTCTTCAGTCGGAGCATATCCTGTAATTTGCGGTCCGAAAGCTTAAGAGGCGTGTACAAGAAGGTTTCCCAGGAGCCATTGTCAAGGCTATTAGGAAGGCAATGATTAAGCAACTCTGGAGTGAGACTTTCGGTGTTGACTCCACCTTCTGCAAGACGGCCTAATAGCACGCTCAGCACAGTCTTCTGGAGTGTATGGACATGTTTGATATCTGAAAGTTTTGTCGAAGTATCTGAATGTCTTCTTTTGCGCGCTGTATGGATACGCGTGGTGTTATTGGATAGATGCCGCTGGTGCTCCATTGCGAGACAAGAGACCTAGGTCGTAGGATAGTCGCAGTTTGGGAACTAGAACAATCTTTGCCACGGCGAAGACAGAGAGGAGCTGAGCCGATGATGTTAAAAGATGCTGTTGTTAAAACTTCACCGACATAGATCTTTGCTTAACTTGTGATACATGATTGGTTAAATCAGTTGGGTTGACGCGGTTTGTGTTGACCTTAATTCATTGTGTGTTGCTGTAGGTAACAGAGGACAGTGTTTACATACTGTTCTAGAACCCTTATTCGTTGCACATCATATCAACTCCTCACCCCAAATCCAGTAGGAAACATTTCTATACGCCATATGTCCGGTGGCAAGCATAACAAACATGCACGGAAGCGATTGAAATTATAGCTTTGCCAGATAAGAGGAAACGACATAAGAGGTGCTGTTAGTCCATCTAAAACTAAAACCGTACTAATCTATTCTGATGTTGATTAAAGGATAGTCGTTCAATTAACCCCATGAGAACCACGTCTTTTAAGTTATCTCCGACAGTCTAATGTTCAGCTATATTCCAGAACCTCAACAATCCTCGGTGGTATGACCTCCTTCACCTCACGACCCGGAAGGACATCCACCTCCCCCACCAACTGCTCCCGGATATGCTCATTAAGCCAATACTTCCTCAAAACCAACGAATCCAGCTGACTCGCGCCAGCAATTCGTCCCAAGCACCTTCCCAGCCCAGCTCCACAGCCGCACTGAAAAGGCTGCACCATTGTCCACTCGGTACTCGGGTAAAAGAAGGTCAATTCGTCCCCGACAGCCAAAGGACGGTCATCCGAAACACGGACTTCGAATCTCGTCATGTCGAATACTAAACTCGGGGCGCAGGAATGGTTGCAGTAGACGAGGTCTGAGTTTAATTCGACTCGGGAGTCCTTGCCAGTTGCGACGGAGGTGTATGTATCGTGATCACCAGGAGTGGCGGTGGTGATGTTGGCGAAGAAGGCACCTG